TTTTTTTTTTCCCTTTCCCCCCTTTTTTTTGCCGGCCCTTTGATGCCTAAAAAATTTTTGGGAAAAAAAAAAAAAAAAAAAAAACCGTGGCACTACTAGCGTATAAAGGGCGTCATTTTCCTGATGCAAGCCTTACATTTAATTCATAATGGTTTTAAAAAGTCTTAAATTCGAGTTGGTGGAACCTACAGAAACCCAGAAGCTGTCCTGAAAACTTCCTTAATTCAGGAGCAAAAACTTAAAATCTAAACTGTTTATTAACTTGACGATCAATAAGATAAATAAGCTCAAAAGGCAGACAATAGCATTCAATGGATTCAGCGCTCCTCACAATCCAAGTGAGGTATTTTTAGTACCTACTTAAAAGTTTCTATAAGACTGAATATTTTCCTCGCTTCAGCCACAAAATTGCATGTGCTTTATCAGCATTTTATGTGAGAGACAAACACAAAGCTGTGAAATGGAAGGAAAGGATTTTCGATATTCTTTTTTTTTTAAATAAAGTGCATGCCACAAGTTGGAAGAGTGGCATGCCTTCGTTGGAGGAGTGAGAGCGACTCTACATGTCAGAAGTTTTAAACAGAGCAGGAAGATGGAGCCCAGATGTTTCCAGTCAGCACCTGATGTCCTGCCAGTCCCGGTTTCTCTGGGCCATCACATCAACCATCCTGATTCAACACCCGCTAGAGCCACTGTTTGCTGTCACACTTCAGGGTAAAAGAAAAAAAATAAGTCCATATTTTGCACTGTTTCAAGAACATCATCTGAAGAATAATCAATCATCTAAATGTCTATGAAGGTCTACTCAAAATGCATGATCAGAACAATTTAAAACATGTTAAAAACAGGCTCCTTTGGGCTCTTGCCACTAGATGACCACGTGAAAAAGGAGTTTAATGCCTTTGCAAGGCACCGTGTGAGGAAGTGTGACAGGAAACAGTTTATGTCATTGTATCGCAGGTTGTGTGCTGCTCTGGGAGCCACTGGGAAGCTCCCTGTCCCAGTGTGACCACAGCTCGCTGCGCACATCTTCACTTGGCACGCCTGAACTCGGGAGAGGCGGCCGATGTCAAAACATTTTAAAGAGTTATACAACGCTTGGCTGTCGTCTCTGGCAGCCGTCAGCTGCAGCAGCTGTGCAGGACGAGCGTGAACTCTGTGTTTGATCCCTGAGCAGGTCCTCGCTGATTAATTGGTTTCTTGAAGCTTCTTGAATTCCTCATTCAGCTGGGGGAGGAGAGCCGTGTGAAGTCGGGCTGACTTGTGGGCTCCTCCAGCGTGGAAACTGTGAGATTGGATTCCTCCCAGCATTTACCATGTAGACAAAAGACTGCTACAGTGGAGATGAAAGTCACCACTCTGGAATCTGCTTAACAACGGAAACGTCTTGTATTAAAATCCCATTTGATGTAAACTCTTAAAGTTTTATTTTGTCACAGGTGTTTCAGATCATTGAAGACGTTTAATTTTCAGACAAATATGAGCAGAAACTGAGCGTTAATTAAGGGGGAAAAAATATGGAAAACAAGCTGGCTGGAGGAGCAAAAAGTAGTTGCTAATTTTGCATTTAGCACCTTTGCTAACTTCAAAAACGTTTAAGCGCGCTTATAATCCCCCCCCAAGTTAGTGCCAATTTACTTGGCTGTTTTGTAAACTTTTAGTTGAGTAAAGTTTGTCATCTGGGTTAAAGTTTTGGTTATCGGCTATTAAGAACTCTTCAATTATTTGGGTCGATTATGGTCATGCTCTTATTTTGAAGAGGATAAAGACTGTTTATTCCATTTCCTCTCGTCACGTTCTCCCCCATAACTTTATTTCAACCAAGAAACTTACAAGAACTAAAAAAATGACAGTAGAGAACAAGATATGAACATAAATCACCTACAATATCTAAAGAGCGATAGAACATGTAAATTATGTCAAAATTAAATTGGTGCTCAAGGTTTTTGGTTTTTCTAGGACAATTTGAATTTAGGTTAGCGCACAATAGCATTAGCTTTTGCTAAATGCGTTAGCACAAGTCTTAAGATTAAGATGGAAAGTTTTAGGATGGGCTTCTGTGTTTGTTTTGGAAAGCAGTGGTTTAAAAATTAATCTCTATCCTTTCTGTTGAATCACAAATATTTTTTTTTTTTATTGAGGCAAGTGACGCCTGCAGAGTTTTAGATATTTTTGGTTCTATAACATTCTGAATGAGTGCTTTTGTTAAATTAAACTTCATTTTGAGTGTGACCTTGTTGAATCCATTATGTACAGACACTGAAATACAAAAAAAAAACAGAGCTTTTGTATATCGTTACAGAACATTAGCGTTTGATTCAGAGAGAATATGAATTATTGTTGACTTTGGGAGGTCAACAGAGAAAAGAAAAAAAAGACAAGCTTGTCTTTTTCCAGTAGCTGTTTACAAAGCTTGGAGTGAAATTTATTCTTCCACTTGTTCACAGCTGCTTTGAGGGAACATAACATATGACCCACCAGCAGAGTGAGAGTTCAGACCTTCAGACTCCTTCACATTTTTGCATATTTTTCATGTAAAGATGTATTTTTCAGTAAAATATAGAGCTATTGGCAACAATTAGGGAGGAAGGCAGGGAAGGAAAATAAGAAAGAAGGAATGAAGAGGAAGCAGGGAAGAAAATGAGGGCACAGGGAAGGAAGGACACGAGGAAGGAAGAACAGGGGTAAGGAAAGACACAAAAGAAGAAGCAAGGACACTTCTTTTCATACTCAAATTTTTTTCCTCCAAACTTTTTCAGACCTGGAAAATATTGGAGCGAGCCTCCAGTCTTTCCCAGACTGCAGGACTCTGGTGTCCAACAGCTGGAGGGCAGACCTGCTGGGGGAACAGCAGCAGCAGCAAAAGGCCCATTTTTCCCCTTCGGGTGGAGAAACCTTCTGGAAACATCTGACTGCTCTCCAGGGAAGCTCCTGTTGGGGGGGAAATAAGGCGTGTTCATTCTGGGAAACGTGCAGCAGAGACATAAACTGCACGAGTGGAGTGGAGGGTGGAGGTGAAGGCAGCGCATGGTGCAGCAAGTTGCTCCACCAACATGTGCTGTTAACACTGAGCCTATTCATGCCGCCGTCCATTCATCATCAGCACTTGGGAGAAAACGGGCAGGACTGTTTGGATTGTCGGCACAAGGCCGCTGCAGAATATGAAACCCGAGTTGCTCTGTTCGGTGCGAGCGCCGGCGGTGTAAACACCACAGCTCAGGGCTGAGGAGTCAAAAGACCACAACAGCACAAATGTTCTGCAGCGTTTCTGACAGGATGACGGCTCCTCCCTAACACCGTGGAGGCCGAGAGCTTTGAGGTGACTCTCGGCGGTCCGCCGTTTCTGTCAAACTGTAATCCTTCATGCGTTGGGACGCAATCTTGAGCCTGCTGGTTTATTCCTCAGCATTTTTAAAAACCAGAGGATGATTGTGGAAAATGTGAACCATCTGCAGCAAGATTCACTTCTCCCATATTAAAGCAGCAAATGAAGGAAGATTTCTTAATAATTAGCCTCACTTAAAGAGCTGCAAGAGGTATTTCACAATGTGGAATCAACAACTTGAGAGGAAAGTTGAAAAATCTCAAAATGTTACCAATTATCTCCTGAGCTAAAGAAATTCAAGAACAGATAAACACCTGTTCACGTCTTTTGGTCTAAAAGGCCTACAGGGACATTTCTAAAACTCTGTCAGGAGAAGCCAGTCTAACAAAATTACTTTTTTTTCCCCCTCTGCTTTTCTCCTCTTTTGAATAAAATAAAACTCCTCTATCAGGCATTTTTGCACCTTATAAAGCACGAGCGATGACTCTAGACTTTTGCACTACACGAGTTTATTTTTATTAAATCCTTATAGACTTAAAGATGTACAAGTTTGTACTTTTGGTAACTTACCGAGTTAAACTGCAGAAGGTGGAAAAGTCCTGGACGGGAGAACTGAAGTGAAGAAAGCAGAGACTGAACCTGCGGCTCCATCTGAGCAGCATTAACATGTCGGCATGTTGACATTAGGCAACCCAAAAACACGGCGCTTAACTCAAGACATTCCTGGTTTTTGGATGTAAAGTTGGTGAAATGATCTAATCCCACAAACACCTGCGCACTCCCTTTGTTTAAAGAAAATAAGCCCTCAGTTATCGCTGGACGCAGCGACTTGTTAACATGACCGCGCTGCACAGTTTGGGCCCTTGGCAGTCGCAGCAGGATTAATGGGAGCTTGGCCCTCTGAGCATTTGTTCACGTGGTGTTTTTATGGGGGGAAACATCTCCTTCGTTTCTCCACAGGCGAGCAGACCGCAGACTTCCTGGAAGGAGAAGATTCAGAGCAGAGGGCGAGGAGAAACGAGCTGCAGGCAGGCAGGACGGGACAGGAGGGAAGCAGGTCGACGACTTAACCGTTTAGAGGAAAACGAGCATCGGGGTATGTTTCAAGTTTACCCTTCAGCTGCAAAATGCTTTTGCAACATCTCTGTTCCAGTTCCTCGTGTTGTGCCATTTATCCAGAAATCAGTTTCTCTCTCAGTCGGGCTCAAATGTAGTTAAGGCAACATGTTTGCAGGATGACTTCCAGGTGAGAATGCGGCGTCTGAACTGAAGCCTTCGACGCTCCTGGGAACAAAAGGCGAGTCTCAAGAGCGGACCGGCCAATAAAATAAGATGGCGAACAAGCAGCAGCGACCAAACTGCACTTTGTGTTTGAGGCGAACTTTTATTGTGGCATTTGTTGTGAGGAACATTAGCTAGCAGCAGACTAAACAGATTTGTTGGCAGACTCAGTAGTTTGTGGTGGGCTTTGTTTAAACAGCTGCAGAAATAAACACCATGTGATTATTAAAGCAGGAAGGAGCCCGTGCCACGTATTAATGGGCACCGGGTCGGTTTTTGTCCACGTGGACACTGAGGCGGGACGACCCCGCTGCTAGTTTAGGTCATTAGGGTCATGAGGCAGATGTGGTTAATCCGCAGAGACGGTAAAAAACAGAAGCAGGAAGTTATCGGGGCAATTAATCAAAGGAGGGATTATTAATCTTTATAACCTTGTAAAAGAAAATACATTAGTGGAGTAATAAGAGTGGAGTCTACTTTATGTTAGCCGGCTAACTGTTCCAGTCGTAACGAAACAGATGAATCACATTAAATGCTGTAAAAAAAAAAAAAAAAACATTTTAAATTGTCCATAATTCCATACATCTCAACCATGCAAGCTCATTTTTCCCATGAAAGAAAAAAGTCCAACAGGAAGTCAAAATTTTGACCTTTAATTTCAGAATTATGAGATATAAAGACATAAATTTTAAGGTTCAGTCATAATTTTGACTTTCTAAGTCATAAATATGACCTATAAAGTCATGATTATGAGAAATGGGCTTCCAAAGGAGCATGCCTCCTTAGAGAAATAGTGACTTTTTAATGTCTAAATGACTCTGAAAGTCAAAATTATGACTTCTTGAGATTTTATGTTATTTCCATAGCATAAATTAGCTTTCATACTCCATAGTCTTTTTTTTTTTTTTTTGCCATTCAACATCTTTTTTTTTTTATGCAGATGACAAAAAGGTAAAAAATAAAGAGGGATGGATGGAGTTTTGATTTCCAGGTTGTATTCACAGTGTGAAGGGGGAGTGGAAGCAGTTCTCCCCCTGCTGGACAAATTTCAGAATGCAGTTTATTGCAGAGGCGAACTAAAAAGAACCTGAGCAAATAAAAACAAAAATAACTTTTTTAATCAGCAAAAAGCATCCATGCATTCCTGCCCATTCAAACCAAAAAGAGACCCAACAATCAGAGGTGAATCATTTGTTTCTGTGTATTTAAGACCTTGCAGATATCATTAAAGGTGTATTATACAGTACATGTATACAGGTGAACAGACGGCACATATAAAAACAGGCTATGCTTATCAAAGGATACAAACAGCATATATAAAAGCTTATTTAAATCATTCAAGTACCTCTAACTCCATACTTCAGTCTTGAGAATTTGAAATCATCTGTACAAAATGTACAAAAACTGTATCCCATGTTGCTTTGGACAGATTTGTCCTTTGATCAGAAAAATCTACACAAAATATCAAAAAAGGAGAGAGAGAACTTACAGTATAAAACAGAGCTGTATCATATTTAACCTGATTTCAGCACAAAATGCTGAAATCACCATCTGAACTTTAAAACTGAATTTCTCCATTTGGGAACTTATTCAGAAATACTAGATACAAACTTTGAATTGAGTTTTATTCAACAAAAACACTTTCAACTTTAAGCTTCTTTTCCTCAACTGAAAAAGAAATGCAGTCATTAAACATGAAAACTCATTCATGATCAGTTCCCTCTGCTGTCTGCCCGTATGCACCAGCTCCGACTCGGCTGGATGCATACGTTACCAATGCATTAACGTCTGTGAATTTATCAAAACGGACATTTTTACTATGATTGTTGGGCTGATCTCCGTTTTCTTCTGCAAGACGAGCAGCAGAAGAGCAAGAAGAGGAGCAACAACTCTGTAGCTAAATGTTGTGGCGTAGAAAACAAGCTTCACTTGGGGGACAGGCGGCGTCCTGTCCTGGACAGGCGGCGTCCTGTCCTGGACAGGCGGCGTCCTGTCCTGGACAGGCGGCGTCCTGTCCTGGACAGACGGTGTCCCGCCCGTTTTAGACGTCTCTGCTCTAACGCAGCTGATGCAAATGGTCCAATCACCTCCTCCTCCTGTTTCTGCTAATGAGCCGTCATTTTATTCAGGTGTGTTGAACCAGGTAAAACATGCGGGTCGCGGCCGTCGAGGACCGACTTCGGACACCACTGAGGTAAACAGCTGCACTGCAGTGAAAAAAGGATTTTCCCCTCTATGGGTTTTCAGTTTTTCTTGTTTTGTTCGTCACACTGAAATGTTTCAGATCATTAAGTGAACATTAATTCAAGACAAAGAGAAGCTAAGTAAAGCTGGCCTCATGTGAATTCACAATTACCCCCCCTTGTTGAAAAGATGCCTCACTTGTTGACACAAGGACCTGTCTGACAACACGAAGCAGAACAACTCATCATGCCCTGATCAAAATGCGTTTAAGAAAACAAAAGCAGTCATGATGTCAGTCAATCCAGAAAGGGTTAAAAAGTCATTTTAAGGCTTTAAAAAAAACAAAAAAAAAACGTTATTTATTTTTTATTTATTATCTTTATTCTAGTGAATTCCAGTAAAGTCATTATTCAAAACAGGAGAAAACATGGAGAAGAGAAGCCACTCAAAGAGCAGCAAGAGCAGGCCTCCAGTGCCCTGGTTAGGGTCAAAGTTCACGATTCAACAGGAAGAAAGAGACTGGGGGAAAAAGAACTCAAAGACCCGACTCATATTAGCGCAAAAAAAACAAACAAAAAAAAACAGCTTAAGGATCCCAAAACATCTGGGAAAATATTCCATTTTCTGCCAGATATTGGCTCTGGGGAGGATAAGTTGATTTGAGTAGATTTACCCTCTATATAAACCATATTCTGCATTTACTCACCTGATTATTAAATTTGATGACTCAAAACTTTTAAGTGTGGCACCTTTTCAGTACTGAAAGTAGCTTTGTCTTTTTTTATGGTGTGTTATTGATGTGGAAGAAAACTTGTCAGTTAACATGTTTGGCTGATGTTTTCTTGCCACAACATTTAGTTCAAGAGTCTAAGATAAAATGTTCCCCCCCCCAACCCCCAAATGTTCCAATGATGCAATCTGCAGGCACAAAAACATTAAAACTACTACTACTACTACTTAAATCAATGTTTTAAAATCACAAATGAAATATTAACAGGCTTGCTTCCAGTACATGAAGAGACTTGTGCAAATAAAGTAAAAGCATGTACAGGCCAAACCTTTCATGAAAAACAATAAAGGCTTTTTTCCCCCCCATAACTTCTCTACATATGTTTCGCACATCCGGATGGGAGAAGTTAAACTTGGTCAAAGAACGATGACTGCTCTACATTCAGAGTTCAGTTTTCATCTGAGATCCTTTCAAACAGCTTTACCACTGTACCATTGGCTGGCAGCAGGAAGGTCAAACTGAAAAGCAAACGAATGAATGAGGGGTTTTTTTTTTCTCCATTCAGTTGACCAAACTGCTTCCAGACTCTTACAAAAACTAGAAGTGACATGAGATTCTTTCCGAATGATCCTGCAAGGAAAGCCGACGTCACTCCAGGCCTCTAGGTTTTTTTTTTTTTTTTTTGAAGTGGTGAAAGTCTGACCTGGGCTGCGGTAGCGCCGCAGCGTCAGGGTCTCTGAGGGTCGTACTGCTGGTAGCGGTTCAGCTTGTCCGGGTCGTTTGAGGCCATGTGGGTGAAGTCCTGGAAGATGTCCTGGTAGGTTTCGTCCCCTGTAAAGAAAAGAAAAACAAGTGGAACAAACATAAACAAACGCAGTAGGAAAATAAAAGACCTGCAGCTGTTTTTTCATGTTCAGCGCCGGGTTATTTTCCACAATCGGCTGCAGAGATTCATTTATTTTTTTCGTTACTAAAATCCGTCAGGCTGGCAAACTACATCTTTCTAGTTCTGCTGCTGCCGCAAAGTGAAGCAAAGAGAGAATTAAAATTCTGACTAAAGTAATGAGGAAATACATTTACCACATTCAGGGTTTAGACATGGTCTTTCAGACTCAGACTTGCAAAGCGTCGATTTGTTTTTCTTTTTTGTCCAGTTTTAAAGTAAAACAAAAAAGAATTTGTAAAAAAATATTCCAATGGAAGGAGAGATGGATGAATGAACAAATAGATGGATGACTGACAAACGTATGGATGGACAGACAATTGAATTAATGAGCCGGATGGAAGGATAAATAAAGGGATGCATCTACTAATAGGGATGGATTAGAATAAACAGCTGGACACAACTTTTACACACAGAGTCAAGGAAAAAAGTCAGAAGATGCAAATATTTGTAAACATTCATCCCGACCAGGAAATTCCTGGATCAAATTCCAAACTTTTCCAGACAGTGTGGGGAACGAGCTCCAGGTCAGCAGCAGGACAGGTCAGAGTTGAGAAGCTCATGCAGTGAAAGTTTCCATCAGAACAGAGGAAGAAAAAGTCGTCCCTACCTGACAGAGAGTCGGCGCGGCTCGAGAAAACAAAACAGAACAACACAGAGGAGAGAAGGAGAACAGGAAGAGCCAGCAGCGCTCCGCTCAGGAGGAAATAAAGGAGCCCACAGACATTTGTTTTTCCTCAACAACTGTATTGTGATTAAAGTGCAGGAGTTTATGTACAAAAATACAGTTGTGTTGGCCTCAGTACCCCAAAGAAACAGAGAGAACAGAAGGAAGGCACAAACTCTGGGGTGGAGAGCGAGAAATGAAAAGCAAAATACAAAAACAGAGAACAAGATGAGAAGAAGAACTGCTTACGTCAGGAAAGTGGTTCTCAATCTGAGTTGATGACAAAATAAATCTTCGTTTTAGGTTTTTTTTTTTTTTTTTTTTTCCCCAAAACTATTGCTGTAGAACTTTGTGAGTTTTTAACTTCCATGCCATTTCTGAGATTCAGAACCACTCTGCTGCTTTTTGTCCCATCTCATTAAACCTCAAACAAAGATGAACTCAGCTCCATAAAAACATGGAGGATCAATGAGGCTGGATCTTCCTCACGGACCTTCCACCTAATTATCCATCAGTCTTCTCAGAATCAATAACTATAAGTCAAAAACAAAACCCATTGGTGGCACAACATGCTTATTCTGCTGCTAATTTACCTCCTGCATATTCTTACAACACAAGTTAAAAACTTTAACAAAATACTTTGCTAAAGTATTCACACCCTTTGAAAGTCCTAACGACAAACTTCAGTGCATTTTGTTGGGATATTTTATACAGACCAAAAACACAGTAGAGCAAGAGATAAACTGAAGCTAAGGATATAGTTGATTTAAAATCTTTGATGAGACTTAATTAAAGTTCACTGCTGTGCTTCTGCGCATTCTCTTTGAGGCTGCAATTTTATTCATTAAATGTGCAAAGCTGGTAGAGACACAACCCAGAAGACTTGAAAGCTGTAATTTCAGAAAAAGCTGTTTTGACTCAGGAGAGATGAAGACAAATGCACCCCACACTTTTAATTTATATATTTTTACACCTCTGGAAAAAAAAGAGCCCACTGCACTGACTCCCATTGAAAACCTCGTGGTTATTCCACCAAATATTGATTTCTGAACTCTTCTAGAGTTAAAACATTAGTATTGTTACTTATAAATGTATGAACTCGTTTTCTTTGCATGAGGTCTGAAAGCACTGCATCTTTTTCATTATTTTGACCATTTCTCATTTTTTTTCTGCAAATATATACATATAATCCCCCCCCCGCTCCACTTCACAATTATGCGCTACTTTGCATTGGTCTGTTACATAAAAATCGAATATAAAGGTCTGCTATTGTAACAGAAACGTAAAGAGAGAAAAGAAAAGAATACTTTTTCAAAGCACTGTATGTATATTATTGTTTTGCCAATCAGTTCCAAATATGATAAAGAAAATGAAAATAATCAGGGTACAAAAATCTCTTCAGTGCGCCCTCCAGTGGTTATCACAAGCAGCATCTTCACATGTTATCATAAAAAAAACACATAATCAGTGATGAAGTACTTTGCTCTTTCGCTGACATTTTTCTTTCTAAACGTCTCGTGTTGTACAGCAGGGGGCGCTCTTTCCCTTCCCATTAATTCAAAGTGCTTCAGGACCCCTTGGATGATTTCATGCAGCATGAAGAAAACATACGAGATGAAACTGGGGTATATTTCAATTAGCAAAACCAAACCGAGCTCATTCCACAGTCTTTCTGAAGATTTTTGATACGAGTTGCAATTTTAAAGCTCCCACATGACTCTCACACAGAGAAGCCAGGACTAGAAGATGATTTTTTTTTTTTAAAAAAAAAGCTTCACACAGTTACATATCCATCTTTTTCTAGGCTATTGCACTTGACGACGCATCATCCCTAAACAGGTTTTAGTAAATCTGAAGAGAAATCCGCTAACATTCCAGACGATTGTCTTACAATTTTAGATTTCCTGTGAGCATAAGCAACAAGCAAGGACACTGACTCTTCATAAGTACCTTTCAATCAAATAAAAATAAAAGTACCCAAGGATGTAAATACAACATCCTCATGGCACTCTGCAGCTACAGTCACTCCTAAACGTATTCTGTTAATCACAAACTATACACATGAATTATTTACAACATGTACAGTGAAAATAGCTCTCACATGCTTGCTAAAGGTACTTTATAAAACAAAAATGTTCTAAAATAGATTTCTTTTTTATCCAGGCATGTAGAAACAGCAAGACGGATCATATATTTAGACCAGAAAAACAAGTAAACAAGCCCTGAACGTAATAAAGACCTTAAAACCAGACAGTCACAAGAAAGAAGGTACAGTAGTTGCATATAGCCAATAACTGGAATGTGCATAATTTCTAAAAACGGATGTTTATAGCTTACAGACACACACTATGCTACCGTACGAACACTGAGCTTCATTCAAACGTCTTGATTATTGCCAGATCTTGTGATGAAGTCACTGAGTTCAGCAGGCAGCTACTTTGCATTGTAGCAATAAATACTTTCATTTCTGGACAGTGGCTGTAAGTTAAGAGAGGCTCCTCCAACACAGAGGAAACCTTTGACAAAAACAGATACATTTTGTGCTATCCCACATGATAACAGTCACAGAAAGGAAAAGTCACTCGCTTTTGGAAGCAAAACTCTGACTTAGAGTTCAGATTTGATGGCTTTATTGCGTCACGTTTCTCCTGTCTAACACCTGATGAGAAATGGTGCAGAGGCCGGCTCAGCTCCCAGCAGGAGCTCAGCTAACAGAGTTGGGCTAAGCTAACTCTAGTCACAGATCTCCTTTCAGAGTTCCTTCAAGAAAATGTGGCAAAGCTCAGAGACTCTGTTTTCTCGGTTTTGCTGCTTTAACTGAGCCCAACTCTGAAGCCCGAGCTTTTACACCTCTAATCAGACTCATCGTCCAGCTGCAGGCTAATGAACTCTTGCATGCACTTCCTGTACTGCATCTCGGTGGGGCTGTTGGAGTTATATTGACCTGATGGGTTGTATGGCCCCTCCGCCTCCCGCATCTCCTCGTTCATCTTGGCCAACCGCAATCTGACGAAGAAACGCAACAAGTTGGAAACGCAAATCAGAACAGAAATTGCACCTGTGAAAGATTTAGCAAGATTTTAGTAACACTGCAATCTCTTTACAGCTCTGTACAAAAGTATTCATACCTCTAATCATATATAGAAATTCTGAGCAATAAGGAATAAAACTCACAACGTGACAATATCTGCGTTTGCCGCTTCCACTGCTATGCTCAGCGGCGTCTTCTCGTCAATGTCGGCGGCGTTTTGATTTGCTCCTCTTTTCAAGAACAAACAGACTTGGCTGTAACAGAGAAGTTGGTGAGATGCTCTGTTTTTAGACACGTTAGAGGCAGATCGGCGTGGCTGTGTGTTCGAACCCCGTGTGTCCCAGCATGGTGGCGTGGTGCAGCGGCCCTCGGCCCTGAGCGTCCAGCTGGTTCACATTCGCTGCGTTTTGGAGCAGAAACTCACAGGTGACCAGCGAGCCCTGGAGAAGATATCATGATGGGCTTTTATTTTAACTGTACTACACATTTGAGTAAGTTCTTTGTTGGATTCATTGCATTTATAACAAATTAACCAATGAATAAATCTATAATAAACCTGACAGGACTTCTTAAATCCACACTGACCCCATGCACTGCCATGATGAGTGGCGTCCTCTTGTCCTCTTCGGTGTTGACCCAGTTGACCTCGGCGCCGTGGGCCAGAGCCTCGGCCATGTCCGGCAGGCTGCGGCTGAAGGACGCCCAGTAGAGCTGCAGACCCGGGCTGTACTCCTTCGGCTCGAAGAAAACCACCTCCTTACAGGGCGACGCGGTCGGGAGCGTGGCGGGCACGGGGGGAGCCTCTGCAGCTTCTGGGAATTAGGGGGAAAGATCTGTGTCATATTTATACTCTTACATTTATTTTATGCTCCTTTTTAGTCAAACCTTAACGATTCAGGCCAAACAAACTGGTGACCTGCATGCAAATATAACTTGTTGAACAATGGTTTCATTTAATATAGAGCAAAGTTACTGAAATCTTCTTGACCTAATGTGAAAAAGGAATGGGCACAATTTAAATAGCGACAAAAAAAAAAAAAAAAAACCTGGTTACTGTCAAATCAAGAAATAATTTCACACAGCAGATCTAGATGCTCAATTCAGATTTTTGACCGATTTATTTATTTATTTTGTTGCATGGCCGTTATTCTTCTAATTCAATGCAACTGCAGCGAGATTGCTACTACAAAGTGATTCGTATGTGCAGAACAACATTGACGTCACATAGCCTTCAACTTATGGAAGTAATACGTATTGTATACTGCTGTTTATGGATCAATTTTAAATTTGTGGAGAAACGAGAGGCGACAGTGTTGTCAGGTTCATTAACGGGAAGCTAAGAAAAAAGAGAGGACAAGTGATAGCGATGCCTTTTGGTGCAAAAAGTCAGATGAAATGCAACATGACTGCAGACACTTTGAAAACAAACGGACACGAGTCAGCACCACATGTGGAAGTGAAACAAATCTGATTGCTTTGGTAGTGAAAAAAATCGTCGCAAAAACAAACAAACAAAAAAAAAAAATCACTCTTGGGTAGCATTTGCCTGATGTGAATAAAGCATTAAATAGAACCTGTTTGGCAGCATGAAGTAGGCAAAAAGGATCTCAAAAAGCAACTCGTCAGGGTTGGGGCCTCTCACCTGCATCTGCCAGGCTGTTACTGGACGGAGTGGTGGCCAGCATCTCCCTGCTCCCATCGGCGCTGTTCTGAATGCCGCTGTCTGCACTTTTCACTGTGAAACAACAATCTGATTCACTACATGTGGTTGACATGAAGCTGTTGTTGCCAAAGAGCGTGAAATAAAAGGAACACCTTCCAGCTGATGAGTTTTGATTTGAGATAATCAAAATGAGACTCCAGATGTTCCTGAATGAAAGTTTTTTTTTTTTTTTATGTTTTTATGAACTTTATTGAGGTTTCTGCAGACTGATTAGGAAGGCACACCTAATATTTCTTATTGGCAACAACTAAATGACGGTAAACAACACAGAGCCCTGGATGACAGACTCCATCACCTTAAGATCCCGGTTCCTAAAAACAAAACATAAAAAAGGAAGAAAGAAAAAACCAAAACAATGACACAGATATAAGTGCAAATACCAGTTTGAGTGAGAGAAATACTGCCCTCCTCCTCTATAAACACAGTAACATGTCATGTTCTGCAAAGCTTACAGGACAGCATGAGTCTGGATGAGAAAGGAAGAGAAGAAAGGATAAAGGGCCGCTACTCCCAAAACTGTAAAATTCAAAACGAACAGCAGAGGGGGGGACGGAAAGCAAGCCAAATATTCAGCTTTAATTACTTACTGCTCCTGAGCTTGGAGGACGTGTCAAAGTAGGAGAAGAGCGAGTCAAGCTCATCAGGACAGAAGAGAGAGTCGCGGCGGGCCTCTTTGCCGCAGGCAGCAGCTACGCAAGGGATGATGGGAAGTGCAGTTAAGGTGGCGGGGTGGGGTTGGAGAGTTTTGAGGTCAGAAATACAAGGGGGATTAGTCCAGAAGCACAGAACAGCCAGAGGAGGAATGAAGGGAGTAAAAGTAAAAGGAATGAGAGAGGAGAGAAAGAAGAAAGCAAGGTAGGGGAACAGATGGTTAGACTACAGGCTGGGCTAACACTGGAAGAGACAGACTGCAAAAAGCAATGCGAAGCAAAGAGGCTGCAGACATATGCTGCTCACAAAGAACGTACGGTACGCCGATGGGTGGGCTACAAACACCACACAGCTGTCAAGTCAACAGTCTGGATGAGAAAACCCCCCACATCCAGATCCAGTAACATTTTACAGCCAGGCAAACCTGAAATGCTCTCAAAACTTCTAAACGTAGTGAGATCGCAGTCATGGTGACATTAAAATGTTTTTTTTTTTCTTATTCTGAAAGTTGGGTTACAGAGCCACATGGTGTTTTTATTAGGCACCGACCTGACTGTCCAGACGCATGAGAGCCTGGCCGAAGTTTGGGAGTGGGCGGAGGGGCTTTAGGCGGCAGGTGGTCCGAGCTGCTGCTCAGCCTCTTCTCCTCTTTGCTCAGAGAAACAACCTTGTTACGAAGCTCCTCATCCGACGGCCGGCGGACGAAACGTCGATCCACGTATTTGGCTTTGATGTAAGCCTCCACCTCGTGTCTGCCGGCAAATCACACAGACATGTTGGGCTGATTAATGCAGCCAAAGGAGGTCAAGAGCTATGAATACTTTTCCAGGGCACATTATGGTGTTCAGTAAAAGAAAAAGTAACAGCAGATTAGGGATGCAACTAATTATTTTAGTTAAGTCATCAATTATTCTGGCAATCAGATAAAATAACAGCCACATTCTGCAGATTTTGATTTTTTTTATTTAGCCACTTATGCACTGCAAAAACACATAACCTTACCAAGTATTTTTGTTCTAGTTTATAGTGCAAATATCTTAGTGCATTTGAAATAAGACAAAACTAACTTAAAAGTAACTTTTCAACCAGATATAAGAGCTTGTTGTAAGTCAGTAATTTCTTAATGCTGATGAAAAAGTCTGACTGCTTCACTGGTAGATTGTTTCTCTTATAACTAGTACTTTTTCATCAGTATTAAGAAATCATTGATTTAAAATATTATAAGTATTTACTATATCTTGCTGAAGTGTCCCTTGTAAGTTAGCTTGGGCTTATTCAAAGTTACTGAAACTAGACCAAAAATACTTGGTAAGATATTGTCTTTTACCAATGTACAACATTAAATATACATTAAAAGATGCAACCCCTTCCCCAAATAATTACATTCCTTTTTTAAATAAGAAAATAAACATTTCATTGCCTAAAATGTAATAACAACATTAGCAGTTTTGTACCTGGGGTCTCCTGGCTGTGGTTTTCTGGCTCCTAGTTCTTCTCGTCGAGCTTCATATATCTGGTTGATCACTCTGTTTCCCAGTTCACACATCAACTGTTGAAATTCATAAAAAACAAACAAAAAAAACAACAATAATTACTGAACTTGGCATAAATCAGAATAAAACACGGTTTGCAGCAGGGTCAAGACTTGACATTATATGAATCTCAACAATGAAGCCGGATTACCTTCAGCAGTTCTGGCTCCCATGAGTCCAAAGTTAAAGACCGAACCTTGGAGAAATGCACTCCCAGGCTCCTGTACGGGGAAAACAAAAAAGTAAAGAAAAAGATCACTACATATTACAGCAACACAAGTGAATTAAGCTACAGAGGATATTTGATTCTCTTTCCTGCACTGTGAAGTTAGAAAGCAAGATTTCTTTTCTATTCACTCTTTTCATCTTTGTGTAGTGAAGTTTATTCTATGAATATATCCTGTGTGCAAGAGTCAAAAACAAAGAGATGCCATTAGATTATTTTCTTATAATGAAGATTGTGGGAACGAACCTCGTCACTTTCTTATTAAGCTTTAATTAACATTGCTATGCAAGGTAATTAAATGTTGTGACAACATCCCACATAGATTGAGGGTTTATGTAATCGGAGGTTTACATTTCACAAATCCCAAAGCTTTTCACACCATAACAGGAAATATTTCCCCAAACTTACAAAAGCAAACAAGTTTTAATTATTTTTTGTTTTCACAGAGCTGATGTGAACTCTACATGACCTGCGTTATGTAAGATCTATAAAAGAAAAATACAATTCACCCAAAATGTTCACTTGGTTTATTGGTTTTGCTGGTTTTTTTTAATGTAGAAAAACCTGTCGCATTTTGAGAGCATTTATCGGTGTGTGGAAAGCGTCTGTGACTCTACCTGTGGATTCCAGAGCACTGAATGCAGAGAGTGATGCCCAGGTTGATGCTGGCCCAGCGCGGGTCCGGCTGGCCACAGTCACAGCAGCAGGCGTTGCCAGGAATGGCCAGGACCTTCTGCAGAGCGCTCTCTCCTTTCAGCGACCTTTCCTTGGGTTCCCCTCCGGAGTCCAGACTCCCTGTGGACGTGGATGACTTCCTGTCCAGCTTCTGCCATGGGATTGCATGAGGAAACCGGTCAGTGTTCAGGATAGACAGTAAGTTAAACTCAAGACTTAAATAAATAAACAGCTGAAAACTGCGCCAGAAGTCCACATCTCTCCTCTCACACACATTTCTAAAATTAAATCCTATTCAGTTGTGCTGTTAAAAGACTTAACATCTGAATCTTTCTCACATCATTTTTTATACTTTAATAGATTTATGCTCTCATGGTTTTTTTTTGTTTTGTTTTTTTCTTTACCTCGCCGCTGTCTCCCTTGTCGCGGAAGGCGGTGGCGATACTGTTCTGGACGGCTTTGATCCAAGCCTGCCGCAGCTTCTCTGAGTCGGCCTGCATCATGCAGCTCCTTCACAGGGGAACACAAGCATCAAATGGCAGCTGTGAGAAAATCTGTTTGTGTGTCTTAAATGATAGATTTGCTGCTCCTCCAACCCCAAACTCTTCATTTCTACATGCATTTCTGTTATACTTTGGTATTTCTTAGACTGCTAGAAATGTTCATGGGATTCTGACTTACTTTGTGGGTGAAACTACTTCAAAGCAGAAGCGCCGCTCGATGTCCTCGCAGTGCTTGACTGTACATAGCCTCAGGTCTTCCACCACTACTGTCGGGTTGTCCTGTGGGGCGGCAGAAAAACAAAATTAAGTACCCCAAAACGAGCATTAACCCAAAACACACACGTAGTTACGCACCTTGTTTCTTGAAATCGTTTTATAACACACAATTGGTATTTGCAATGTGAACACCATTTAAAAAGTTTTAATATTACTCTTATAGACAATGTACTGTCACTTTGCTTTCACAATCCATTTAATTTAAATTCGAGGGTGGTAGATTTTATCAAACCACCTATAATTTTGAATTAGTAACAAATAAGAATTCTTAACATTCATAACAAGGGTGAAAAATAGATGTGTTTATTTTCTACTGAATCATAAATACAAATACTGTTCAGAATTATAACCAAAACAGAAACCCATCCTGAGGTGCAGGAGTGCTTTACTCCACACAGTACAGCTGTTTCAAAGATTTGCTTTACAGCAGTAAACTAAAAATACTCACACAAAAAAAAACCCAAAACAGAAACATTTTTTCTGTGTGGTTGGTGTGGGGAGTCAGTTGACATACCTTAAATTTCTTCTGGTAAACTAGCTGATTGTTTTGGATGGAGAACCAACGTCTGAAAGGAGAGCACATGGTTAAGGGGAAAATCGGTCGCATGCAATGAGCAGAAATGCTGCGAAAATATCTCACAGGGAAGTCCAGAGAAACTGATGACTAAATAGATAACTTTTTTTATTCTCAAAAACAAGACACAAAATTTATTAATACATTTAGAGTTTAAAAGCAGTAATACATCACCAGACAATTATCAGTTTGTTAAATTAGTTGAGATTTCAAGGAAGAGAAGAATGACAGTTAAGGAATGTGAATTATGGAGTTACTGTAGTTTTATGGCGAAACTGTGCACAAACTCTGATGAAAAATGCACTTTTTGAACATGTTTTCAAAGCATATCAGGATTATTTTCTATACTTGAAAGCAAATCCTTTGGAAATGTAAGTTTTAGGATTAATAAAGCTGGAAATCATTGTGTTTCTTTACTCAAGATGCTTTGAAGTAGCTTCTTTTAACCATCACTTTTCTGGAAACTTTAATTTCTGCCTGACAAACATGCTCACTGGGCTGAAGTCAGATTGTTTTTGTGCTAATTTTTTAGCTTTATTGCCATCTGAGCAGCAAAGAGCCCTACAATCACTGCTGCAGGATCAGAGGGGATGAAGAGATTTCTGTACCAAAAAAAGTTAACGTGCCCCGTTTCTTTTGACCCAGTTAGGACACATTTACTTGAATCTATATGTCATTACCTCCTAATTCCTCATAAAATATTAACAATACATACTACTTTGAAGCAAAAAAAACTTCTTATATGTTTAGCTACTCACAAATGTTTCAGTCTTAAAATTAATAAAGTTATATCTGGTACAGATTACTTCTAAGCCACCAGTTCAAGTGTGTCATTACCTGTTCCAAGTCTTGAAAGCGTTACTGGCCCTCTTAAATAGATAACCCTCCATTGCAATGCCATTATCTGCGTCCACATTATACTCCAGTTTCGTGTCGTCATTTGAGAAATCCTGGAAACCACATGAAAAAAAAGGAAACATGGACGTATAAACAAAAAACGTAACAGAACAATAATCAGACAGGATGAAACCTTCAATGATGCTTATTTTCTACAGTGGTATAAAACCAATTTGGAGCATTACTGAGAAGAGCTAAGTGGTCTTTCAGAGGGTAGCTGTTGCTCAGCCTGAACTGAATATATATTAAAAAAAAAAATAAAAAAAATAAAAAAATCAGGCAAGCGTGAGACAGCAGGCCTGACTTACAGTGGCCATTTTAAATTATAACCACTGCATGTGTGTTGAAATAAAGAAACACACATTTATCATTTATTTGCCTCAAATGATACATAAAGCGTAACAAGCAAAAAGAAAATACATAAATGCTTCTAACCAACCTACTAATAAAATAAACTGTGACATAAATATATGGCAAGGCTGAATAATTCAAATCAGGGGTTCAATTCATATGTTCAATAGAAAAAAATATATATGTTTGAAGGAAAATCTATGAATAAAAAACAGCAATCGACCAAAGACTGGAAATCACCAATTTTCCCTCAATTGTCTATGACTGGAGGTCAGCAGGTCAAATACTTCTCACTTTTTTCCCAGTTTAATATAAATCAAATAAAAGTAAAAAGCAATTGCATGAATGCATAAATGTGGCTGATCCTGTAATTCCTACATTTCCTGCTGGATTCCAAACTACTTCGTCTATCAAGGCCGAGCTGCCTTAACTGTTTACGTAGCCCTCTAGACTCCAGAGAACGTCGAGGTTATGGTTGTATCGTTTGCCAGGTTTATGATTTTATCAGTCAAATCAAATCAGTTTTTATTTTTACTATGCCAGAGTACATTAACGTGAAAAATGTTTAATACTATTTAATTTTAAGATGTACTCCGAATACAGAAAAAGCTAGAATGTATTAACAGTTTGATAGGTAGTTTCATTAATGCGTTCTACCACAACTGGCCTTTGAGGAAATAATATGTTCGATTGGTCAAAATCAGAGCAGCTCAGAAAATCTGAAATCAGTGAGACTATGAAGCTGCTGTTTTCCATATTGCTTGTAGTTTGCATAGTGAAGAGCGAGGCATCACAGAGTCTGTCTGAATATCCTCCATGTCTGCTGTAACTCAGTCTCATGTGTCGTTATGAGACTGCTCTGCGTTAACTACCTGAGGTGCTGCCACACTCTCCCCAGCTTCAGGTGACATTAGGCACCACCCTGTACAACTACACAAGAGTGTGTGATAGTGTGTGTGTCCTTGAAGAGTCAATTTACAGCAAGCATCAGCGTCTCCATAAGCAATTACAGCTTGAAGTCTTCAGATCTGTTGAAACTTTGGCGGTTTAGAAACCAGGAGGTTTCTAAATCTCCTGGGTTAGAACAGTGGTTTTGTAAATCGTAAGTGAGCTGATATATTCAAAATGGCATTAGTTTACTGAATTTTAACTTAGAGGAACTAAATGGTTTCTCTATTTGGGGATTTTCTGTCAAGTATTGTTAATGTTGTAAAATAGCTATAAAACTATAATTTCAACAATACAAGTCCACCTTCCACAAGCCTTGGGCTGAAACCAAAACATCACACAGTCATAAACAAAGCAAACATAAACCTGCAGGAGTCTGTAAACATTTCAGTGCCGATGACTGTGTTTGTCGACTGGAAGTGAGCTAAGAAATACAACAGGTTGTGACAATGGCCACCACTTCCTGCTTACTTCCTGGACATCAATAAGATGACAAAATCAGTTTTGGGAACCAGAGTGCCTTGCAAAAATATCCATACCTATTTAACATTTTGTAACATTGAAGGAGAAAACCTTTAGGTGTTTTAATGGGATTTTATTTGTCAAGTAAAAGGAAAATGTTGCATGCTAATCTAATCTTTTTTTTCCCCTCCAAAAATTCTGAAAAGTCTAGCATCCATTTGTATTCAGCCCCACCCTCCAAGTCAATACTTCGTAAAAGCACCTTTTGGTACATGTCTGGAGATTGAAACTTTCACTCCTTTCTTTCTGCAGAACGTCTCTAATTTCCACTACATGATACTATCACTACTGTGTTTCATTGGTTAGCAGGTTCAGGGTGAGAGAAAGTGCTTTTATCACATTGTATTTTATATGTAGGTATATATAGGAAAACACCTTGAAAATCCCTTTCCTTCCAATTCACAATTGTGCGCTGCTTTATGTTGAAAAAGATTTCATTTTAACTTAAGGGTTAAGATTTGTGATACCAAAGATTTCCTGTGGGGTTAATAAAGTTTTTGTCTTATTTTGGGAGCTTACTGTAGTGTCACAATATACAGCTACAGCACAAAAAAAGAGATTATACTGAAGCGCTTCAAAGCTGTGGTTTCCTGGTCCTGTCATTTAAAAACCGAATGTGGAAATGGACAACAACCCTCACATCAAACCAGCAATCAAAACTCCCTATAGCAGACACTGACAACAATACTGACATGCTGACATGAGGAGAGCAACACTGATGCGTGTGTCGAGCTGTAAAAGTGAGGGAACGGACAAAGATGCAAACATCTACACGAACACTGCAATGCAGTTTCCAGGCATGTGCTGATGAGGGGATGATGGGCTTAGGCAGGTGGGGTTACAACACAGACACCAGATGGCAGTCAATGCATCGACTACGTACAGAGGTCGACCTCCAGGCACAAAAGCTGCGATGGTCTGGTAAAAAGTCAAGCTCTGTCGCCTCCTAAAATTTCACACAAACAGCAAGAGAACCACACAGAGAAAAGAAAAGTTGTATTTCCAAGAAAGGGAGAAGAGGTGGTCCAAACGAGAGAAAACTTGAAGCAAAAAATAAAAAATAAAACCAAACCCTACTCGAGTGGACATTGGCAGAGTGACACCGTTACATGCTCGACATGCACTCACCAGATACCACACATAGTGAAAACGGCTGAAAATCTTCATTTTTCTCAGTTTCTCCTTGCTAACTTGTATGAGTTTCCCCGTATGGCTGACAACTGGTCAGCTCCTCAGTCTGTGTGGCATCTCAGTGACTGAAGTCACTTGAAGCCTCGTGGATCATCGTGTCTACAAACCGTCACCTCCCTGCCTCTCCTGACGCTGCGTCTATCCAACTAGAGCAGCTGCTCCTCCTCCAGAGGACTCAGGATCCAAGCAAAAGGTCACCCGTTTGTGTGTGTGTGTGTGTGTGTTGGGGTTGGTTTTACAGAGGACTTAGAGAATAAAACATGACCTCACTTTGATAGTAGTACGCTCAGCTTCCTCTTCTAAAAGCTTATTATTAAGTGTTTAAGTCACAGGAATTTATTGTCACATAAAAAATGTCTGCAGCCATTTTAAACCATTGGTCTCTACTTATTTTTTGTTAGGTAAGACAGAGATAGAACGGTCCAGCAGCACGTGACTGTGTTTCTTAAAGCTGTGTCATGGTCTGACATCAGTGTTTCTGCTGAACAATGCACACAAGCACAGAATTGGCATTCTAAACACAACCTCAGGACCCATTTAAACTCCCATAAGGATTTCAATAGCAGAATCATGATGCCATCTTTTTATTGTGCACAAAAATAAACCTTCTAGGTTCCTTCTTGCATAATGGGGAAGTAACGTGATAAACGACTGAGTGATGATGTGGATGGTTTTTAATAGAAGAAGAAGTTCCTTTAATTGGTCTTATATATTTAACTCAAACTTTCTGGCAAAATATTTCCAAACACAAGCAGAAACTTTAAGTTTGAGCTTGCAAAAGTATTCACACCCCTTGAATGTTTCCACATATAGTCAAATATAATGCAGTTGTGTGTGACTGTTTCTATTACGAGAAGATAAACTGAACATGTCTGTACACAAATCCAAAGCCTGGAATATTGTTACATCACCAAATCCTGCTTTACATCATTCTCCCTGACATGTCTGCTGTGTTCCTTGATCTTCACTGATTTTGTTTGTTTTCCAGCGTTTTCTAACAAGAATGCCTGGATTCTCTGTTTATTAATGAGAAAACTTAGAAAGGCACTTAATTTATAACTGATAACCAAATTTCTCAGCTTCTTAGTTGTAAAATATGTTGAAACCCATACATCATATCCACTACATCGCATTTATGTGTTGCTTTGTGCTGGTATATGACATAAAATCTTGATAAAACATTATGTGGCTTGAGGTATTAAGGGAATGTGACAAAAATCGAGGGAAATACTTTCTCAAGACATTGTGTATCCAGAATGAAGTGGAGTGAAATAATTTTACACCAAGGTTAGCAGGCAAAAGCGTTAGTTGCTTAGCCTTGTTTTCACAAGATGAGGGACTACGTCAGGAGTAAATAATTTAATTAACTGAATGCTTTGCTTGAACCAATTTGGAAGAAAACATGTGCGACAACCGAAAATAAATGTGAAGAAAAGCATTTCTTTTAAAGACTGAATAGGAACTGTGAAGGACCAAACCTGCCTGAGGATGAATACACCATGTGAAGTCATGTGATGTTTGAAGTGTCAAAACAGCATTAACTTATTCAATAAACTCAGCAAACTCATAAAAGCATCAACAGCACAAAGCACAGAAGCATGCATGGCAACTTAACTCAAACCTATTATCCACATTGCCAATCAAACATCTTCATCAGTGAAGTCTTTCTAAACAGTGAGACCTGCAGAAATCAATTCTGACCTTCCAGAGACCCAACACTAAACTATGTTCATGCAGATGTTGCATGGAAGTAGAAATGAGGGGAAAAAGGAAAAGAAACACCACTTACCTGCAGAGCAGCCTGGAGAGATTAGAGAAAAGAGATGAAAGAAGAGCAAAAGCAGAAGGAAAGAGAAGACAACATGGTTAGAAGGGTGTAGATAGATGCAGCCAGACAGATAGAGCAAGAATGCTTAAAAATAGCATTCAGTTCAACTTAGGAAGGATAGATGGAAGTTGGGAGAGATGATGAAGTTAGATGGAGGTCAAGAGGAAGGAGGAATACAGTATGTGTTTCTTCCAGCTGAGTTATCAGACAGTGGAATAAAGAAATCCCATTAAGAGAACAGCTGGGTAAGTAACTATTGTCTATTTACTGATGCTGTGTGATGTACAACTAAATCACAGGGCAAATAACTTCCATCACATGCTGGGATATAACATCCAGCTTCCGGCTTCACTGTCCTTTAAGGGCAGGGGTCCCCAAACTTTTTCCTGCGAGGGCCACATGACTGTTCCCTTTTCTGGTCGGGGGCCGGTCTTAGTTTTTTGAGAAAGAAACCTTAGAAAAGTTTTGTTGACCGGGGGGGGGGCATTGGATTGGATTACTGCCGACCACATATTCGCGTTTGTAGATAGATTTTTACCCAGAATGCAAATGGAAAAAAACC